CCTTTGGAAAAAAAATAAAATAAAATAAATAAAATCTGGAACCTTTGTCACAGTGTATGATTGCCTTGGGCATTGGCCCCTAATAAATAAATGGGAAGTTGTTAAAAAAAAAAGAAAAAAAAAAGAAATATGACGGTGCCCCCCTCCTCGGAGATCGTCCGTTGATGCCACTCTGGTGGGGAAAACACAACAATTATATTTTTATTTTTTTATTTTTTTTGGTCAAGGGACTAGGGCGCGATTGCTGACTTGTATAATAATAAAAAATTCAACTGTCTTAAAAAAAAAAAAAGGGGGAGGGGAACAGTTAAAAAAAAAAGACGAAAGCGTAAAAGTCAAATTTTCCTTCATAAAAAAAAAACAAAACAAAAAAAAACAAAACAAAAAAAAACAAATTCCTTCCTTTTGTGCGTTTTTCTTTTTTTTTCTTTTTTTGAAGTCAACTCAATTTTTTTTTTTGCTGTCTCCTTCATAACAAAAAGAAAAAAATAGAAATAAAAATAGAAATAAAAATGGAGCGATGTACAGCTGATGGTCCTTTAGCAAAACGATGTACTTTACCAAGGATGACACACTTTACTGAGAAGTGGTTCAGTTCAACACCCCGCCCCCCCCCCCCCCMMCMCMMAAAAAAAAAAAAAAAAAAAAAAAAAAACCGAGTTCAAATTTACGACCTCTCGATAGAAGGAAGAGAGGAGAGGAAGGCAACAGCAACGAGCAACAGAAGAGTACGAGTTCATCATCACCACCTCGAAAACGACGACAAAGACGACGACGACGATGACGACGACGAAGAAGAAGAAGAAGAGAAAAAGTGAATAGTAAAAAAAAAACAGTGGCCAGTAGGCAAAAAAAAAAGAAAAAAAAAAGAAAAAAAGAGAAGAAGTGTGGCGATAGACTTGCTTCTCGTATATGCAAATAACAACAAGAGGCATATCGGCGGCTTCGCATCTACTGATCTTAGACGAGACGCGCAAATTCCCTTGGGTCTTCCTCAACGAAGAAGAAGAAGAAGAAGAAGAAGAAGAAGAAGAAGAAGAAGAAGAAGAAGAAGCCACCACCTCGACGACGACGACGACGAAGAAGAAGAGGAAGACGGAAGAAGAAGAAGACGGAAGAAGAAGATGGAAGAAGAAGAAGAAGGAAGGAAGAAGGAAGGAAGAAGGAAGGAAGAAGAAGAAGGAAGAAGGACGAAGAATTTGAGTTGAAATTTGAGAACCGAGGCCGATCGCTCAGCGTCTATGCTTTCGAAATGAGCATTACAGCGCCTGCACAGACATAACAAGCTCGAAAAACGCTGTGATGCTCATTCCCCGACGCATTTCGCCGGCCTGCGCTCCAAAGAAGAAGAAGAAGAAGAAGAAGAAGAAGAAGAAGAAGAAGAGAAGAGAATTGAAAAGAGGGAGGCCGATCTCTCGGCGACAATACAACAGATGCGACCCGTAAAGCATCTGCATACACATAGCTGCTGATGAAAACGCGCACATTCCCCTTTGAAGAAGCGGATGGAGGAGGAAGTAATAATAATAATAATAATAATAATAATAATAATAATAATAATAATAATAAGAAGAAGAAGAAGAAGAAGAAGAAGAGAAAGAAGAAGGACATGAAGGAAGAAGAAGAAAACGGAGGAGTTCAGGAAGAAGTAGAGGAAGAAGCAGGAGATGGAAGAAGAAGTAGAAAATGAAGAAGAAGAAGAACTTACGGAGAAGAAGAAGAAGCAGAAGAAGAAGAAGAAGAAGAAGAAGAAGAAGAAGAAGAAGAGGAGGAGAAGGAAGAAGAAGAAGAAGAGGAGGAGGAAGAAGAAGAAGAAGAGAAGGAGGAGAAGGAGGAGAAGGAGGAGAAGGAGGCGAAGGAGGAGAGGCTCTTCCCACAGGTTGTAGAGAACGGTAGCTGCGATCCCTGTGAAGATGTCAAGTGAAAAAAAGAAAAGGAAAAAAAAAACGTAAGATGCCAATTGGGCTGTATTTGCTGGTTGTTCTAAAAAAAAAAAAGGAGAGAGAGAGAGAGAGAGAGAGAGAGAGAGAGAGAGAGAGAGAGAGAGAGAAAGAGATGCCAATTGGGCTGTATATTTGTTGGTTGATAAAAAAAAAAAGAAAAAAAGATGCCAATTGGGCTCGTCGATTGTGATGAAATCCATCTCTGGAAGGACATATTTTTTTCCCGCTAGTGCCCTCAACCTCCAATTTGAAATTCTTTTGTACTGATTAAAAAGGGAAAAAGTTATTTTTCGAAAAATTACACCGCCGCTCCTGCTGTGGACTACAGACTGTGGTGATCGATTCATTCTTTTTTTTTTTTTTTTTTTTTT